TCTGCTTTGAGACGGCATTCCCCTTCTGCCGGCCTCCGTGACAGACAAAGAGCTGGTCTGAGGTCCTGAAGCTTTGCGTCTGGTCTACGTTGCACCTTAAGGCTCGGACGGGACAGAGCAAAGCTAGGGCTGGGTCTGCCTCCTCCGAGGGCAGCGCTTGGAGGTTCACCACCTGCTCCCTGAAGGGAGTAGCGGGAACCTTGGGCACGTAGCCGGGCCGGGGCCTCAGGGTTACCTGGGAATCAGCCGGCCCGAACTCTAGGCACGAATCGTTGACCGAAAATGCGTGCAGGTCCCCTACCCTCTTGATGGAGGCCAATGCTAGCAGGAGCAAAGTCTTCATTGAAAGGAACTTCAGCTCAACCGCCCGCAAAAATGCTCAAAATGGGCCCTGCTGTAGTGCCGTGAGCACCAGAGTCAGGTCCCACGAGGGAATAGAGGGGGGCCGTGGAGGATTTAACCTTCTCGCCCCCTTAAGGAGCCTGACGACCAGGTCATGCTTCCTCAACGACCTCCTTCTACGGTGTCGTGGTTAGCAGCGATTGCAGCGACATGAACTTTAAGGGTGGAGGGAGACAGCCTTTGCTCCAACCCTTGCTGCAAAAGGACAGCACTACTCCGATCGGGCATCTTCGGGGGTCTTCTCGGCGAGAAGAACACCACTCAACGAACAGCTTCCACTTCAAGCGTAGGCGTGTCTCGTAGACGGTGCTCACGCTGAAGTGATGGTGTCAACTACCTCTTGGGGTAGGCCACTCAGAACCTCCGCGTCCCGTCCATTGGGACCAGACATGAAGTTTCCAGAGATCTGGACGTGGGTGCCAAAGGGTGCCCCGTCTCTGAGTCAGTAAATCCTTCCTCAGAGGAATCGGCCAAGGAGGGGCTGTCGCGAGGAGCACTAGTTCCGGGAACCAGGTCCAGGAAGGCCAATAGGGTGCCACCAGCAGGACCTGCTCCTCGTCCTCCCTAAACTTGCACAGCAACTGTGCCAGAAGGCTCACTGAGGGAAATGCATATTTGCGAAGGTCCGTGGCCAGCTGTGTGCCAGTGCGTC